TATCAAGGGTCCCCGATGTGCAGGCTCTGTGCCAGGTGCTGAGGATACAGCTGTGAAAAAACACGAAGACGCTGCTCTTAGGGAGCCAAGAGCTGGACGATCCACGGAACAAGGAATCGGATTCAATCAAAGGTGTATTCGTTTGCTAGGCCGCCATGACAAAGCACTACAGATGAAAGAACTTTAACCAGTAGAAATTTATTTTCTCACTAATCTGGAGGCAAGAAGTCCAAGATCAAGATATTGGCAGGTTTGGTTTCTTCTAAGGCCTCTCTCCTTGGCTGGTAGGTGGTCACTGTCCTCTGGTGTCCTCACATGGGCTTCCCTCTGTGTGTGTCTGTGTCCTGATCTCTTTTTTTTTTTTTTAAGATTTTATTTATTTATTTGAGAGAGAGATTGAGAGAACAAGTAGGGGGAGGGGCAGAAGGAGAGCGGGCTCCCCACCGAGCAGGAAGCCTGATGCGGAACTCAATCCCAGGACCCTGGGTCATGACCTGAGCTGAAGGCAGTCATTTAACTGACTGAGCCACCGAGGCGCCCCTGATCGCCTCTTATAAAGACACCAGTCATGTTGATTAGGGCCACACAGATGACCTCATTTTACCTTAATCTCCTCTTTAAGAACCTTATTCCCAAATACAGTCAGATTCTGAGGTGCTGAGGGTTGAAATGTCAAGTCTGAATCTGGGGGTGGGGGATGCCAGCCCATAGCAGAAGGGAAGGTGAGAAAGTGACTAGTGCAATGGGAAAAAGCCGAGTGAGAGGGGTCGAGTGTGTATTTATGGGGCAGGTTGTGGTTCTAAGTAGGGTGGTCTGAGCGGGGTCTCTGAAAACTTGACATTTGAGCACTACCTTGGAAGAAGGTGAAGGACTGAGCCACACAGATATCTGCGGGCAGAGCATCCAGGGAGAGGGAAGGGCTGGGGCAGAGGTGAGATGTATCTCATGTATCTGTATCCCGGAAAATAGCTAGAAACAAAGGGGGGTGGGTGGGGTGAGCAGCAAAGGATGAAGCAGGAGAAGCAGGGGAGTGGGGCCAGGCCCATAGCCCTCATAGGCCATTGCAGGACTTTGGGCTTGAGGTTTCAAGACCCCCGCAGGTCATATCCACAAGGAGGCTGCTATCAACAAAAAATAAATGAACAACAAAATCTACCAAAAAAAAAAAAAAACCCACACAAAAAAACAGAACAAGGATATTGTTGGCAAGGATACAGAAAAATTCGTACCCTTGGGCACTGCTGGTGGGAATGTGAGAAATAGTGGGATCAACTATGGGAAAGAGTATGATGATCCTTCAAAAAAGTAAACGTAGAATTACCATTATAACCCAGCACTTGCACTTCAGAGTCCTCACCCGGGAGAAAGGGAAGCAAGCACCCGAATAGATGTCTGTACATTCACGTTCATGGCAGGACTGTTCACAGCAGCCAAAAGCTGGAAACAACCCAAATGCCCACCAGCAGATGAACGGATAAACCAAATATGGTAAATACATTCATGGAATATTATTTGGCTTCAAAAAGGGAGCTTTGACATATGCCACAACATGGGTGAATCTTGAGGATTTTATTCTAAGTGGAAGAAGACAGAAAAGGACAAATGTTATATGATTCCACTTATAGACAGAAAATAGGATGACGGCTGCCAGGGACTGGGGAGTTAGGGAGTCATTATTTAATGGGTATAGAGTGTCACTTTTTTAAAAGTGAATCTTTTTTTTAAAGATTTTATTTATTCATTTGAGAGAGAGAGAGAGAGCACAAGCAGAGGGAGAGGCAGAAAGAGAGGGAGAAGCAGACTCCCTGCTGAGCTGGGAGCCCGACTTGGGGCTTGATCCCAGGAGCTGAAGGCAGACACTTAACCATCTGAGCCACCCAGGCTTCCCCGAGTTTCATTTTTTTCATAAAAAAATGTTCCGGAGATGGATAGCGGTGAGGGTTGCACAACATTTTGTAAATATGATAATGCCACTGAATGGTACACTTAAAAATGGTTGAAATGGTAAATTTAGATAAGCGTTGAGAGTGGTGTGAGCTCAGGTGGGGGGGAAGTGTTCCGATTCTGAATACACTTTGACAGGAGGATTAACTGCCACGCAGGACAGAGAAGAGAAAGAGGAGTCCAGGGTTTGGATCGAGAAGCTGGGAGGATAGATAAGCACTTGGCTAAGATGGGGAGGGCCGTGGGAAAGACAGAGGGCTCAGTTTGGGACCTGGTACCCTTGAGATGCCTATTAGACATCCCGGCAGAGGAGTGGAGCAGAAATTTGACGTCTGGGAGAGAGGGATGGAGTTCCGAGTCTGGGAGAGAGAGACCAGGAGTACTGAGAACTTTGAGACTCATTTGCAGACAGACAGTATTTCAAAGATGAACCTGGATGAGACCCACCGGGACGGTGAATGTGGACACAGAGCCCGCAGGCTGAGCCTGCTCCTGGGAGGGGAGGAGGGGCGAGCAAAGGAGTGGGGAAGGAGCGGCCAGAACAGTAGGAGGATCCAGAGCACCGTGAGTTAGCAATGGGTGGCTGGGGAACATGCAGGAGCGGGTTCAGTGGGCAGAGGGGGTAGCAGCCTGATGGGAGCGGGTCCAAGAGAGAACAGGAAGGGGAGATTGATGTTGGCAAGTCGGGTCAACTCTGTCAGGAGGTTTTGCTGCAAAGGGGAACAAAGAAAGGGGGCAGTGCTGGGGAAGGAGAAGTGAGGTCAAGAGAGAAATGACAGCACATTTGCATTGATAGAAGTGATTCTGAAGAGAGTGGAAAGTGGCCGAGGAGAGGGCCGATTGCTGGAGCCACATCCTTGGGCGGGCAATAAGTGAATATATGTGAAGTATGGTAAGTGAAGTCGAGTAAGGGCACAGTGCCACTTAGTCCGTCTTTGGCAGGGGACATTTTAGCAGAAACCTGAAGGAAGTGGGGGAGTGAGCCATAGCAATTCTGGAGAGAGAGCATTTCAGGAAGCAACAGCAGCAAGTGCAAAGGCCCTGAGGTGGGACTGACTGGTATGCTAAAGGAACAGTGTGGTTGGATCAGAGTGAGTGATGGGGGCAGGGATGGCACCTGCAGAGAGGTGGGGCAAACAGATCAAGCAGGACCTAGGAGGCCATGGGACTTTGGCTTTTACCCTATGAGAGATGGGATCCATTTGAGAGTTTTGAACAAAGGCATGACAGACTCTGGTCTTAACAGGATCATTCCGGCTGCTGAGTACGGAATAGAATTGGGCAAGAGCAGAAGCCAAGTGAAGGGGCCATTGCAGTGACCCAGATGAGAGCCAGTGTGGGTCTGGGGGAGCACGCTCCTGGTGGAGGTGGGGAGAAGCGGCTGGATTCTGCATGAATTCTGAAGGTGGTACCAGCAGAGTTTGCTAGTGCACGGGATGTGGAGTGTGAGAGAGAGGAATCCAGGATGCCGCTGGGGTTTTGGTCTGAGCGACAGGAAGGATGGATGTGACCTTGACTGAGATGGGGAGCGTCTTAATTTCCAACATGCCAAGTCAAGATGCTTATTCATCATCCAAGTGGCGTGTCGAACGTCTGGTGGATAGGAGTCTGGACTTTATGGGAGAAGTCAGGGCTGATATATATAAACTTGGGGGCGGGTGGAAGGCGAAGGACGGCTTGTGTCAGACCGTATGAGCTCCCTTGAGAAGTGAGAGTGGCTAGAGAAGAAAAGAGGTCTGCACGCACCTCATGAAAATATTAACGTGAGAGACCCAGACCTGCCCTCTGCCTAGGAAGGAAGTGGCCCAGAGTTTGTCCGGGAAACCAGCTGGGCTGGGGTCTGAGAGCAGATGAGAGTCTACAGAAATAAAAGTCTGGGAAAAACACACCTGTAGGGCATCTGCTGGGATCTGCTTCCTCTACTGGTCTCACTGGGGCTGCATTGTTGGCTAAGGAGGAACAGCTCCTCCATAGCAGTTAGGATGAGCCGTTGGAATGTTCTATGTGGACCTGTACCTATGAACTGATTCGATCCTCACTGTGACCCCAGGAGGTAGATGCCGTTATAACCAGCCCAACGCTGCCCAAGAGGACACAGAGGAACAAGTGGAACTGGGATTTGAACCCCAGCGCCTCCTCCGTTCTCTTAACCATTACGGGTTGTGACCTCCCAGGAACAGTCCATTATTGTTATAGCAGTAATAATAACAAACATTTATCCAGTGCACTGCCTTTATGATTTCATTTAATCCTTGCAACAAACCTATGGGATGGGCCCACGATTTCCAGTTTTGCAGAGGGGAGAGGTGACTTGCCCAAGGCGACAGAGCTGGTGAGGGGCTAAGCCAGGCCTCCAGCCCTGCCGCCCGGTCTCTAGGGCCTTGGCTTGCCCCACATCCCTATGCTGCTGGTTACACTGGTCTGCCCTGGGCGTCCCATGGGGATTTACCAAGTCAAGGCATTTTGGTGATGCTTAGAAGTTTGGGGTAAGATTCAAATGCTCTGACTCCCTCCAGAGCCTCCTCTGGGCCCTGGTTGCCTGCTGCCTCCCTCCTGGGCATGGTGGTCAACTTCCTGGCCTTTCTTCCCCTGTCAGGACCTGGGAGGCCAAGAGAGAGTTCAGCTTGTCTTCTGTGAGGCCTCCACTGGGGCTGGGGGTGGGGCAGCCCAGGAGGCAGGTGGAGGGAGAGGGCCCACCTCAGGGACCACCCGGCCATCTTCCTAGGGTGTAAGGACCCTTCCAAATGGTCAAGTCTCTTGAGGTCCCTTGCACAGATAGGTGGGGAAACACAGGCCAAGTGAGGACAGGGGACTTCCACCAGGTCAATGAAGAGTCCTGCAGAGGCAGGGCTTGGCCCTGGGCCTTGGGACTCCCAGCCCTGGACTATTCCTCAGCCTCCTGTTGAACTTCCTCCCCGCCCCCCCCCCCCGGAAGGAAATAGGCCCCACATACCCTGGCTGACCCTCCCTGGCCTGCTTTTTGCCAGAGCCCTTGAGACTGGCTGAGAACTGGTTGCCATAGAGATGGTGGGGCGGGCAGTTCCAAGGCTGGCAGATGGGGGTGGGGGACGGGGCAGGACACCAATATGCGAAACACCCACCAACAGCTGAGCAGGACTACTTCGGGGAGACCAGGGCAGGACATGAGGCTCCAGGCTCCAGGGAGGACCATCGGGCTGCTCAAGTTTCTGTCAGACATCCCCCAGGCTGAGCAGGTGAGGGAGGTCCCATGGGGGTGGCGGGGGGGACTTCCAACTGCCTGGAGGCAGGCAGGCTGCCTGGGGGCATGGAGGTCAGGGCTGAGGGAGGTGCTGGAGGAGCCATGAGACTGGACCTGAGGCCCAGGTGAGAGACAGGAAGGCCCAAGGCCGGCAGGGACCGACCATAGGGAGGCCTCAAGGGTTCGGGGTGAAGACGAGGAATTCACCCAGGGATGGCTTCCAGGCTTCCAGTGGAGCGATGTGGGGAACACTGCAGAAGGATGAGGGTTTTGGGAAAGATAATGAGGTTCCTCCACCTTGACTTAGCAAGTCCAGGGCCCCATGGGGCATTCAGAAGAGCTGTCCGGGACTCAAGAGGCAGCATTGTACAATGGTGACAAATCTAGGCTCTGGGGACAGACTCAACATGTTCAGATCCTGACTCCACTTACTGGCTGGATGACCTTAGTCAAGTGATGTCGCCTCTCTGAGCCTCATTGTTCTCCTCTGGGATGAGATGAGATCTCATAGGGATAACGGTGGAATATAGGGTCCTTGGGAAAATTCACATGAGTTGATGCGTGAAAATCCCAAGCACCCAGCAGGTACTCAGTAAGCAGCATCTTTAAATATTAAAAATTACGGTAGTGATCAGTCAGTTTTAGTGGTAACAAGTTGGTTTTAGGGGGCCAGCCAGGGTGCACAGAAGAGGAGGTTCCCCTGGGGGAGGTGTGGGGTGGTCCAGGAGGCTGCTCAGAGCTGGGCCTCCTCCCTTTCTTCACCTAGGGGAGGACTGGCAGTGGCGATGGTGTGACTCCGGCCCAGCAGCCGAGGTCTCAGAGCGCAGGGCAGACGGCAAGGAAGGACCGGAGGCCCCAGGCCCGGAACAAGAAAGGGCATGGCTCTGCTGAAGCTGAAGAGTAAGCATCTGTGCGCCAGGCTGGGTGGGATGCTGGTTATCAGGCCCGACTGCGGGCCCGCACCCTGACCTTGACCCCTGCTCCCTGTCCTCTCCTTCCTCAGTCTCATCCCCTCTTCTTCTCGGAAACCCTCCTTCCCCTTCCAGTGGGCCTGGGAGAGCTTCACCACTGATGGCCGGGCTCTGCATCAGCCTAGCTCCTTCTCGGCCCCTGGCTACCAGGCCATGCCTTTGCCCCAAGCAGTCCTCAAGTACAAGGCCAGGTGCAAGTCCACAGCCACCCTCCCAGAGGCCCATGGCTTCTGCTGGAAGACAGAGGTGCCAAACCTGGAGAGGAGCCAACAGCTCGGGGCCCGCGGCTTCGTCCCCATCTCTCCTGGCAAAAGGGAGAGCCAAGAACCGGAGGCACTCAGTGAGTGTGACATCCAGCCACCTGGGAAGAGGTCAGGATCAGGATCCAAGTCCGAGGAAGGCACTGAGCTGGAAGCCCCGGGTGCTGAGGAGGCAGAGAGGGGTATGAGCCCTGGGGAACTGCCCCACCTCCTTGGGAGGGGGTCAATCTTAGAAGAGGAGCCATTTGCAGAGGTGACAGAGGAGCCCGAGGTGGGGGAGCACAGGGCCCCCCGTAGAAGGAGGGCTGGTTCTCAGAGAAAGGGGCAGAATTTTGGCGAAGAGGCTTCCAATGAGGGTGACCTGCAGTGCAAGGGGAACAGCTCCAGCTCCAACCTCAGAGGATCACAGAGGAGGAAGTCAAGGGCCAAGGAGCTGGAGGGGCCATGGGACCTGGAGAAGCTGCAGAGGCAGTTACAGCAAGACTTGGACTGTGGTGAGTGTGGGCTATCAATGCCTGGGTCCCCAGGAAACCACACAGTTGGGAAGAGAGGTTAAGTTGGGGAGACAGGGTTGTGCTGTGCTCCAGGTGCTGGGCAGGATTGGGCTGGGAGGGAGGCTACTCTCTGACTTGTCCCACTGTGGATAGGCCCTGAAAAGCAGCCCTGGAAGGCTTTGCGGGATGCTGTCCAGGCCTCCAATCGGAGTGGGAAGACCTGTGCCTTGCGAGATGAAGAGACTTGCCTGTTTGCCAACTTTCCTACCCATACCTTCCACAAACGACAGGAGGCCACGAGGTAAGGTGGAAGAAGAAGGGTGGGACTAAAGGGCTGGGAGTAGAGAGGAGCCAGTTCTCCAGAGACACTGAATCATTCAGCCTCTCACTCTTTCCTTCATTTATCCATTCTCTACTCTTCTGGGCATCCAATCTTCTGTGGATCCATCCACCCATCTACCCACTCATCCATCCACCCATCCACACACCCTCCCACCCATTCACCCATCTATCCGCCCATTCACCCATCCATCCATCCACCTATCTGTCCATCAACCCATCTGTCCATCCACACACCCACTCATCCATCCACCCATCCATCCATCTCTGTCTGCTTGGTCAGGTGTCTATTGGCACAAGCCACTTTTCAATCATTTCCCATCTTCTGTTCATCCATTAATCTATGAACTAAATGATTAATGCAACGTATGTTGAATATCCACTCGCGGGTGCTTAGGATGTAAAGATAAAAAGACTTGAACCCAGCCCTAAGAAAGTCAAGGTCTGCTGGAAAAGGAGACAGATGGGCAAGACAGCAATTGCTATACTGCTATGTAGACAACTGCTATACTTAGGGCTTGAACAAAAGACAATGAGAGCAGAGGGGGAAGCCTGGGAAGGGGCACTGTTGCATTGTCTAGATAAGGGCCTGAACCAGCTGGCCACGTGACTGGAGAGGGGAATCCACTTAAGAGATGTTTGGGGGTTGGCTCAGCAGGTCTTGGTGACTAGTTAGGAGTGGCAGGTGAGAATCCATTTCAGCATTCTAATAGCACCCCTCAAGTCTTACTCTGTCATCCCCTGCTTGCTTCCCATGCTTCCCAGTGCACTTGGAACAAAGTCCAGATTTCTCAGTAAGGAGGTTCCTGTCTCCCACACCAGCCAGTCAGAAGGGCCAGATTGCCCCATGCTTTTCCTCTCCCAGGACTGCTCCTCTCCCTCATTCACTCAGCTAACTCAATGCATCTTCCAACTTCCAAGTCAGGCTCCCTCCAGGAAGCTCTCCCCTGGGCTTGCCTCTGCCACAGCTCTTGCCACACGGCCTTGCGTTGGGGTGCCAGGCTGCCTGTCTCTCCCTGTGTACAGGCTTAGAGCTCCCTGAGGACAGGTGCCAGATCTTATTGGACACGGCCTCCCTGGTGCCCTACAAGGGACGTGGCACCCAGTTGATGCTCAAGAAATATGTGCTGAGTGAACGAGTGCATCTACCCTTTCATTTGTCCAGCCATGATTGGATTATGCATGAATTCACCAACACTGAGTTTCTGTTTATGTGAAGCACTGTTCTAGGGGCTGGGGATACACTGGTGGTGAAGAGAGGGGTGAGGAACCCTGCTCTCATGAGGCTTACACTCTATATGGGATGAAGGATAATGAATAAAGAAATGAACAAAATGTATAGCTAGAAATGGAAAATACCTGGGAGGTAGAAAGGGGTGGTCAGGAAGTCTCTCTCTGACATCTGAGCAACGACCTCATGGACAAGGAACTGGCCATCAGAGCTAGGGGAAGAACATTCCAGGTGGAGCTAGGTGTTGTCTACTCAACCATCCACACCATTCATCCACCCCTTCATCCATCCATTGATTCCCTCACTATTTTGTTTCTGTTTCCCATCCATTCATCTATCTGTCCCTCAAACCAAAAGGCATGAACCTAGTTCCTACCAGAGATGGGAGGCAGAGAGAAGAACAAGATCTGGCCCTTGCCCTCAGGAGAGCTGCTTTGCCAGGGGAAGTTAGCCATACGGCTGAGGGCACAGGGGCACTAGGCCCCACAGGGCTGAGGAAGTTCAGAGTTGGGGCACACAGCTGGCTACAGTGGGAGGACGCTTCCAGGAACAGTAGGGAAAGGCCTTGAGGTGGGCCTGAGGGCAAGCCCCAGATGCAGCCCTCATCACCTTAGACTTCCATGACAAACCCCATCCCCCAGGCCTGTGATCCCTCCCTCGGGCCCCCATACTCCTCTCCCTGCTCCTGGCCTCGATGAGACTGCTGCCCCCCGCCGCAACCCTAGACTTCTCCCACCTTCTTCTTTCCCTCTCCCTACCCAAGAAGACTATTGCAGGCCTGGGAGCGGCAGCAGCAGGAGGAGCGGCAGCAGGCCGAGCTGCGGAGGGCCCGGGAGCAGCGGGTCCAGCAGCAGGTGGCTCGCTGCCTGGCGGCCTATACACCCAGAGGGAGCCGGGGGCCGGGGGCCACCCAGCGCAAGCTGGAGGAGCTGAGGTAGGAAGCCTGGGCTGGGGAGGGCCCGGTGGGGAGAGGGCAGGGAAGGCAGTGCAAGATGTCAGATGTCAGAGGAAGGACAAAGGAGACCTGGCTCTCATCTTCCCTCAGGGCTGAGTCTCCACGGCCATCCTACAGCCGTGGCAGGCGGGCCGGGCCACTTGGCTGCACTTTACAGATGAAGACACTGAGGCACTCGAGGAGAGGGGGCTGAGCCAAGGTCACCCAGTTAAGGATAACAATCCTGCAGCTGTCAGAAGCTCACGGTTAAACTGGTCTACATGCGTTACCACATGCTCAAATCCCGTTTTTCTGACTTCAAAAGCCAGGCATGCTTATTATCAAAATGTAGATATTACTGAAATCATTCACGGAGCACAGAAACAGTACATGTCATCTCACTCCGGGGCACAACCATTGTTTGCCGTCAGGTGAAGAGTCATCTGCTTATTCTCCTCCTATATGCTGACCATTAAAAAGAAAGAGGCAAACGTGTATTTAAAAGCAAATCTTTTTTAGACTCATATAACAGGCCCACGAGGCAGGCGTTATCATCAGTCCCATAATTCGACAGAGGAGGAAGCGGAGCTCAGAGAGCTCAAATAATTTGCCAAAGGTCACAAGTGAGTTACAAAACTAGGATTCCAGTTTGGGCAGCCATTTAGCCACCCTGCTACCCCGTCTCCCAAGTGCTCGAATACCCAATCTGTAGATAAAGTGTGCCAGGGTCTTCCCCCAAAAGCCCCACCTAGTGGAACAGATAACACAAATAAATATGATCACCGGGGCCGTGGACATTGAGCACCTACTGGGTGCCCTGGCAGCAGGGTTGCCCTTTCCACAGCTCATCTGCTTTCATCCTGGGAGAAGGGCTAGGTCAAGGTTGAGTGGAGGGCTGCGAAGAGACCAGAGACTCTGCCCCTGCGGCGGGGCCACCAAGGACTCAACAGAGTTCTGATCACCTACTCTTTGAAGTTCAGGCTTATCATCCCCAATTCTGAAGATGAGAAAACCAGGGCTCTTAAGAAGTCAAGGGTGTTTTAAAGGAATCCTTGGCCAGGGATCAGGGAGATGCTTTCTCCTTGCCAGACCTCTCAAGTTCATTGTTTGTGTGTTTATTTTTTCAATAAGGCAGGAAGCGCAAGGTTCAGGACTCCAAGTGACAGATGTCCACGAGAGGAGTCTTTCACACACACCTCTTTTATTTTCTACTTGAGAGCAGATGTTTTCCATGGGGGTCTCTCAGCCCGTACATCCTGTGACTTTTGCTCTCTCTGAGCTGCAAAGGCTCTGCCCTGCACAGGGGGGGCGGGTTCAAGAGAGGTCACCCTGTGGTAGCGAGGCTATGTGCCTTCCTTTTCCTCCCAGATGTTGGACAGGGCTGACATCCAGTCACAAGCTTCCTTTCTGCTTGGGGCTCCAAGACACGGACTTCCTCTCAATTCTAACAAACAGCATCAAGAATCAAGAAGGAAAAATATGCATGACATCATAGGCGCGACAGAGACTGAATGCCAGGCTCATTCCCCACCCCCGCCTTTTGTAACTGCTGAAATTACCTCATGGATGCTGAAGACTCCGTTTTGCAATAACTTCTGTTCCTGGCCACGGGTTTTCAGGTTCATCTCTCATTCGTGCATGGAGGAAGGCTCCTTCCTGGCACATGGCCAGGAGTCCTGGCCCGACAAGGCGGTGCTTCTCTGAGGGGCCCCTGCGTGTTTGCTAGAGGCCCCAACATGAGTCTCGGAGTCTTGTCTCCCCCGCGCTCCCGTTCTGTGTGTGGGTGCTGCCGACACACCCCGAGACCTCTCTTCCGTGCTTCACAGGATTCCTGGTCCCGTGTGGCCAGAGGGCCCCCCCTTGCTGCCCGGATATTCGGCCTGATGAACAGACACATTTCAGAAAAGCCCACAGACCAGGTTTTTGTAAACGGATGTGTGCTTCCCCCGTGGAACCCTGATCTTTTCAGGAAGTGTTCTTTGATTTGCAACTTAATTCTTTTGTTCCTTCATCCCATTTTTTAAGTTGTGTGCTTATAAGAACCACAAGAGAATGGTGACAAACTTGTCTAAACCCTGCCATAGTGCAGAGAAAACTGAACCCAGAGTGGGGCCTTGCCCAAAGCCATGGTCAACAGCCCCGGCTTCCCCCTCACAGGTGCAGTGTGAGAGGGCGCAGGGGTGTAAATGCAGGGAGGGGAGAGGCTGTGCAAGCAGAAACCTAGTTGCTCTGAATCCAGTGCTGGCCGCTCTCCCTTGGGGGTGGCTGGGAGGCTAGATGAGCCCTGGCTGCACGGCCTGCGGACCTGGACTCAGGGCTCAGTCTCTCACTTCCCAGCTGTGCGACCTTGGCCAAGTCCCTCAACCCTCCTGGGCCTCAGGCTCATCACGGGTAAAATGGAGCAAATAACTTCCACACCACTGACCTCAGGAGGAATACAGGGCGAGGATGGGAATGAAATGGCTTTGCAAGGTAAGGGTGGGGAGGATGTCGAGTCCTCAGTGAGGATGAGTGGACTCAAGACGTGGAGCTGGCTTGTGTTCATGGTTAGCTGCCCAGAGGCCCCTCTCCCTGCAGGCGCCAGGAGCGACAGCGCTTTGCTCAGTATCAGGCAGAGCTGCAGGGCATCCAGCTCAGGGTGCAGGCCCGGCCCTACCTGTTCCAGCAGGCCATGCAGGTGAGGGCTAGCACCTGGACAAGCATGCCCCTTCCCTGAGAACAGCACTTCTCACTGGAGGAGTGGGTAGGGATGTAAGGTGAGAGGGGCCCCTTTGGACGGGGCCCTGGGCCACTGCCCATCTGGAAGCCCTGGGACCCTCTCAGTAATCCCAGCACCATTTGTCTTCGGCAGCCTTGGTGCAGAGCAGGAACTCTTCTCTCTCCTCAGGTCAATGCCCGGCTCACAGTGACCCGGCGCTTCTCCCAGGTGCTGTCAGCACTGGGACTGGATGAGGAACAGCTACTGACTGAGGCAGGAAAGTGGGACACAAAGGGCACCTCCAGGAAACCCAGGTGAGGCCGTCTAGTCAAAGAGCTGGCTCTGCCCAGCTACAGGGAGAAGGGGTGCCACTGTCAGCACTCTGGGCCCTACCGGGTCTCCCCCAGTTGTCTCCCTGCCCACCTCCAGCCTGGACTGGACATCCAAGGAAAAGCTGAGAAAACTTGTGGGCAACCAGGCTGATCCACCCTGAATCTACGCTTCAGTCCTGGCCTGGTCCACTCCTTTGGACTGAAGGGCTCTGCCTAGCTCTAGCGGTCAATAAGTCCTTCCCCAGGCCCTGTCCTCCATGTCACCCGAGGAAGGCAGGACCAGGGTTATGTTCTCCAGATCCCAATAAAGAAACTAAGGACCTGAGGGGCAGGGGCTTTGCCTGAAGATACAGGAGCAATTAAGCCACAGAGGCAGTCTAGGAATCTGTGGCCAGCTGAATGGCCACACACCAAGCCCCTGTTATGGGGTGGTGTCACACGAATCACCCCCGGGATACTGTCCCTTATGCTTTAGAACAACCTGGCGCACAGCAGGGATAGTGAGGCTCATTTATAAGGAAACCGAGGCTTGAGGAGGGGAAATCACTTGCTCAGAGTCCACACAGCATAGGAGCCAGATTTGAACCCACATTGTCAATCATGGCCTTTCCTCTCCTAAAGCCCAGGTCTCCTCAGGCATGGGGGTGGGGAGCTAGAGCCCATGGTCTCTATCTGTGTCTCCGTCTTTAAGGAGCCACAGGTCAATGGGGGTGAGAAAGGAGCACTCTTCTGAGAGCCCTGCAAAGACAGAATGCACTGGAAGCCAGCCTGACAGGCACTCCACTCCAAGCCCAAACCAAGAGTCCAGCCCCTAAGAAAATAATTAAACGCTTTATGGAAAATACAGTGTGTAATTTCTGGTGCTGCTAGGAAGAGGCTGCAGGCTGGGAGTAGGAGGTAAGCAGGTGGCAGCAGGCTTAGCTTGTCCCATCACCCAGGAGCGCTGGCTGTGGAGCTGCTCCTGAGTGGGTCACCTCACAGAGCAATAATGGCCTTTGAGAAGTTGGTGGGCATGGGGGGGGGGAAGATTTGGGTCTTTAAAGGGGTGCACACCTCACACTATAACAGGTGGGTTGCACACAGACCACCAGACCGAGCAACTGCGGGGTAGGGGCCCGAGGAGGGATTATGTGAATTGGGATTTTAACTTTTTTTTTTTTTTTAAGATTTTATTCATTTATTTGAGAGAGAGAGACACAGCGAGAGAGGGAACACAAGCAGGGGGAGTGGCAGAGAAAGAAGCAGGCCTCCGGCAGAGCAGGGAGCCCAATACGGGGCTCGATCCTCACGACCTCAGCCCAAGGCACACGCTTAACGACTGAGCCACCCAGGAGCCGCGGGATTTTAACTTTTAAGTAATAAATTGAAGCCCCTAAGGTGGGAGGGAGCTCACATACACAGATGTGCCAAATTCTGTACTGTTTCAGGAAGTTCAGAGTACAGATTAAAAAACGCAATGGGGGGTGCCTGGGGGGCTCAGTTAAGGCTCCCACTCCTGGTTTCCGCTCAGGTCGTAATCTCAGGGTCCAGTTCCGAGCTTCTCTCCCTCTCCCTGCGCCTCCCGCTTGTGCTCTCTCAAATAAATAGACCTTAAACAACAATCCAAGGAAAGTGGGAAGGCAGCATTTGCTGACAATACTGGTTGTAGGGGCTCGGAAGTATGGGCTGTGAAAGGGGGGGGGGTCTCAGAATATAATGCGTCGTCCCACACCCGATAGAGCCACGTCCCGGGGGAACCCACTAGGAGGAGAACGCCTACTGGAGCGGCAGGTGCCATCCACGGCAAGACCACGAGGCAGGGAGCGTCCCGTGGCCGGGAGGTGCCTCCAGCTCCCAGGTTGCTGGCTTAAAGGGTTTATAGTTGAGGGACCTGCAACCGGGTCCACGCGCCCCCTGGAGCGCATGCGCAGTGATACTGCCAGCTTAAAAAGACCGCCACCCCACACCAAGACGGCCGCAACTGCGCAGTTGGGCTCCGATCCCGGCCTTCCCATGAACCTTTGGGGCGGGCTCTGAGGCGAACGACGGAAGCAGCCACTCTTGGTTTCCGGCAACACGACAGCGGCTGCCGGGCGACCCGGAAGTATTCCCATTTTGCGTCGTCGGGGCTCGGCGGCGGCCGGGCTCGGGGCGGACGTACCACCATGGGGTCGTCAAAGAAGCACCGCGGAGAGAAGGAGGCGGCCGGGACGACGGCGGCGGCCAGCACTGGAGGCGCCACCGAGCAGCCGCCGCGGCACCGGGAGCACAAAAAACACAAGCACCGGAGCGGCGGCGGCGGCAGCAGCGGCGGCGAACGTCGGAAGCGGAGCCGGGAGCGTGGGGGCGAACGCGGGGGCGGGCGGCGCGGGGCCGAAGCCGAGGCCCGCAGCGGCGCGCACGGGCGGGAGCGCAGTCAGGCAGAGCCCTCTGAGCGGCGCGTGAAGCGGGAGAAGCGCGATGACGGCTACGAGGCCGGTGAGGGGCGGGGCCTGTGGGGGGGGGCGGGGCGGGCCGGGCCGGGGGTCCGGGAGCGGGCGGGCTGGCTGGCCTGGGTGTGCAGCACGAGCACGCCGGGGCCCAGGCACCTCGAGGCTGTGTTGTTAAAGAGTCTACCTACGGTCATTTAGGATTAAAGAT